AACCATTGATACAAGGCAGGATGGATCCATGCTTTCAGGTTGTTGATGCCAAATTCTGACCCTACCATTCGAACGTTGCAGCAGAAATGGAGACTTATCAGACCAGACAACATCTTTCCAATCCTCTATTGTCCATTTTTGGTGAGCCTGTGTGAATTGTAGTCTCAGTTTTCTGTTGTTAGCTGACAGGAGTGACACCCGGTGTGGTCTTCTGCGGCTGTAACCCATCTGCTTCAAGGTTCGACGTGTTGTGTGATCAGAGATTCTGTTTTGCATACTTCAATTGTACCTGAATATTTGAGCTACTTTTGCCTTTCTATCAGCTTGAACCAGTCTGGCCATTCTCCAGAAACCTCTGGTATCAACAACACTGTTAACCCTTACTGTAGATTATGCAGTAAATAACTGTAAAATAGCCAGTGTTTGGCTGTAATGAAAAGAAACAGTATTTTACTGTAAAAGGAGCAGGATTTGTATGAAATTCTGTAGTGCAAAGAATAAATGACAGTAATTTACTCCATGTACCATTACAGATATTTACTGTGATAATAAATGGTAAATAACTGTTCAACCATTACTGCCCCATCTCCTCTGATGCTTTATGTTGCTATTTTATATTTATTTTATCTCTGTGTTTTCTTTGGTTCCTTTTATGTTTTTAACATTGAGTATCAGGAGTCAACCAATGCCACAGAGCTTATTAAAAGGTAAGTGTAAGATATGGACGAAATGCATTTAAAGGCAAAAATATTCACACAGAGCAAAGAAATTGTCACAATAATTTTTATAATTTTGTTTACTTTTTCTATAATTAATCTAATTTAATTGCCTAGTTTGACCTATAGTTAAGATTTTAAATTGCACTTTCAACTGAATTTTAGTATTTTGCTAAATAACTAGTAAAAATGTGTTATTTAAAAAAAAAAAATATATATATATATATATATATATATATATCTTAAACAACACACACATACATTTTTGCAGAGACTCAATGAATTTGTCTGGAAAACTGGCAAGTAAAAGTGCCATTAACAGTATAAAGGCTTTCCTAAATAAACGTATAAATCATTATATTTGTTGTGTTTTTTATTATTACTACAGATTTGGAACGACATGAGAATCAGATTATTTATTTATTTATTTTTTTCTATGGATGAAGTTTATATTATAGTATATTTTTATTGTTTCTATTAAACGATATGTGCATAACTGTGATAAATGTAGGCAGTTGCTTTGAAAATATGCTATGTACCAGGGGTGTCAAACTCCTGGAAGGCCACAGCCTAGCAGAATTTAGTTCCAGCCCTGCTTCAACACACTACCTTTAGATTTAGTTTGATCAGGTGTGTTTAATTAGTATAACTGCACTGTTACTCTGTAGATTGTGCAGTAAATAACTGTAAAAAACAATGATTTAGGCATCACCACACACTCCCACAGGCTGTCCGTCTTATTCTAAACACAAATGTGTTAGAAAGAGTTTTCAGAAAATGCTGGCCCTTTAAGAGAGTCAGGTGTTTGATTTGTTTACTGCTGAGTGTGCTCTATTCTCTGTCCATCAATTCAGAGGTTGAGTCTGATATGTTTTAGGCTTTAAATAAGAATCTACAATGAGTAAGTAAAATGTGTTCAAATGTTTTTGAGGGTTTCTATAATAAGGCTGTGTTTTAAGTTATATTGTTGTTATCTTGAACTGTGTACTTGAAAGCTACATTGTTAGCTAGTTAGCCTCTCCTCATATAACTTCTTACATTACTTTTGTTTAAGTATATGTATTTATTGGATATTGCATACTGCCATAATGTACAGATGCTAACAGTTGAATGTATCTTTCTGGCAACTAAGCCAATATTAAATTCCATCATCTCAGTAATGTAACATGTGCACATCCTCACAGGGAATCACAAAAACATGATACACATAGCCATCCACACACAAAAGCTCCACTGTCCGGTCCCAGGTTGTGAGTTTGTTGCTAAGTATTTTTCAGAGCTGTGTTTCCATCTATGAATTTATATTAGAAACAATAAAAAAGTTTGTTGTCATGAGGTAATTATAACAATAAAATATTGGATCCTTTGGTTTTTCGGTGTTGCCAACTTTATTTTTGTTTTCTATAATTATTTTAAACTTTTTGAGATTTGACAGAGCTTTTAATTATTTAAAACTTTAAAATTTAAAATAATTATTTTGTGTTTTTTGCTGTTCAGTTTTTTTTTTTTTTTTTTTTTTTTGCATGGTCAGCATTGAGGAGAGAGTAACACATTTCACTGCAGCACTTTGTGTGTGTGTGTGTGTGTCTGTTTATTGGATATGTGATTGTGATAAATGTTAGCAGTTGCTTTAAAAGTATGCTATATACCAGGCGTGCTTAATCCTGTTCCTGGAGATCTACCTTCCTGCAGATTTCAGTTGCTATCCATATCAAACACACCTAAACCAATTAATTAGGACTTGAACACCACGTGATAATTACAGGCAGGTGTGTTTGATATGGGTAGCAACTGAAATCTGCAGGAACGTAGATCTCCAGGAACAGGATTAAGCACCCCTGCTATATACCATGGGGGTCAAACTCCAAGTTACTGGAGAACTGCAGTGCAGCAGAGTTTAGTTCCCACACTGATTCAACATTACCTGTAGATTTCTAACGAGCCTTAATTAGTTTTATCAGGTGTGTTTAATTAGAGTTACAGCTTAAAGTCCCAGTCACACTGCACTTTTCTCCCTTTAGACTTCCATTCATACGCATGTGAATGCTGCAGACCTGGAATGCATGCTCATGCGACAAATTTTACAGTTTGCAGCATTGGAAAGTTCAAGCTTGGAGAACTCTGAACTGCGAAATCACATCATGTGATTGCTTGAGACTAATCAAAGATCAAACCATGACCTCTCTGAACAAAAATTATGGACCAGTTGCTTGCTTTTTCAATCTCTAAATATTTTGTTTAATCCCACTCCTTTTCGCAGTGCCATATGACAGAGTTTTGCATGCTTAAACGTTAGTTTGACTGCAGCCTTGCTGTGCAGACCTGGGGCTCTCAGTAATATGCAAGATGATATTTATATCTGCTGATTTCTTAATTTTGTTATACATTTTCTGTTTTATATTTGTTTGCTGCCAAAACAATAAAATAAATTTGTCAGAATTTACAACTTAATTAATTTAAAGAATTAATAACAGATAAAAATACTAATTAATTTTAGTAACACCTTGACATACTATTGTGTATGCAGTATAATGCTGTGAGTTGTAACACTACAGTACAGTAATTAACTGTACACAGTTTCCAGTTAGTTACCACTACTGCTCTATTACAGTGATTAACTGGCAACACTGTTGCCAGCTACTCACTGCAATGGTTCAGTTACAGTAAACAACTGGCAACACTGTTGCCAGCCACTCACTGTAATGGTTTAGTTTCAGTAATTAACTGGCAACACTGTTGCCAGTTACTTACTGTAACCAAACTTTTACAGTGAGTAGCTGGCAACAGTGTTGCCAGTGTTCTTCTGTAAAAAAGCCTGGTAAGGTCTAACAGTGAAGGCATTTGTGTCCACAGAAATGCTTATCTCTAGATATTTTCTCTTTTTTGGACTATTGTCTGTAAACCCTAGAGATTGTTGTGTATGAAAATCCCAGTCAATCAGCAGACCAGCCCGTCTGGCACGAACAACCATTACCTGTTCATAGTCACTAAAATCAGCATTTTTCCCCATTCTAATTCTCAGTTTGCACTGTCCACAAGTCTAAATGCCTTGATGCAGTGCCACCTGAGGGATAAGAGATCATGGTGGTTCAGCTTGCCCTTTATGCACTGAAATTCCTCCAGATTCCTTGAATATTTTAATTGTGCTATGCAGTTTTAAAGATGAAATATTCAAATGTCTTCCTATCTTTTGTTGAGGAACATTATTTGTAAATATTACAATTATTTTCTCATGTGTTTATTGCCAAACTTTTCCACATGTCTTTAAAAAATTTTTCCCTAATGATGTTTAACAGAGCAAGGACATTTTCACAGTATGTTTGATAATATTTTTTCTTCTGGAAAAAGTCTTTGTTTTGTTTCGGCGAGAATAAAAGCAGTTTACATTTTTTTAAAAAACATTTTAAGGTCAAAATTATTAGCCCCTTTAAGTTGTATACTTGTTCAATAGTCTGCAGAACAAACAACTGTTATACAATAACTTGACACTTTACCCTAGCCTGCCTAGTTAATCCAATTAACCTAGTTAAGCCTTTAAATGTCACTTTAAGCTGTATAGAAGTTTCTTGAAAAACATCTAGTAAAATATTATTTACTGTCATCATGGCAAAGATAAAATAAATCAGTTATTAGAGTTATTAAAACTAAGGCAGTGGCGCTGTGGGTAGCACCTTCGCCTCACAGCAAGAAGGTCGATGGGTCGCTGGTTCGAACCTCGGCTCAGTTGGCGTTTCTGTGTGGAGTTTGCATGTTCTCCCTGCCTTCGCGTGGGTTTCCTCCGGGTGCTCCGGTTTCCCCCACAGTCGAAAGACAGGTGAATTGGGTTGGCTAAATTGTCCGTAGTGTATGAGAGTGTGTGTGAATGTGTGTGTGGATGTTTCCCAGAGATGGGTTGCGGCTGGTAGGGCATCTGCTGCGTAAAAGCTTGCTGGATAAGTGGCGACCCCGGATTAATAAAGGGACTAAGCCGACAAGAAAATGAATGAATGAATGAATGTTTAGAAATGTGTTGAAAAAGTCTTCTCTCTGTTAAACAGAAGTTGGGGGAAAAATAAACAGGGAGGCTAATAATTCAGGGGGGCTAATTATTCTGACTTTAACTGTATATAGATTGATATAGTTTGATGTCATTTCGCAGTACATGTTGTTTATAAGGTGTTGTGCAAGAATTATAATAAAATAATACTTCAAGACTACCTTTGTATAACAATAAAATGAAGGCTTTACATATACAGTAGTGTTACCATTTTTGTCTCTTCATGTCATTCCTGTTTCTCTCTCCAGGTTTGGGCCAGTAATTTTCTTCCGAACGAGGCATCGTTGGCAGAGCGCTGTCAGAGAGACTTTTTGCAGAAGCACGGAGAGCCAATGCTGGTGCAGTACGCTCGGATGGAGGCACAAGCACAGGTAATACACCCACATAAGACACACTTCATAGCGTTCAGGAGTCTGTCAGCAGAAAAACTCCCTATGGATAGTTTGTAAAGACTCTCACAAACACAATGTAAGAGTGCTTTGACAGCCCTGCTGAGAGGGAAAAATTCTTAAACTGGTTTGAGATGCTGTGTTGGTCACTGAGCTGGTTGAGTTTGATGGTTTTAAAAGGGAATTTTCAGTTTTGAGGAAAAGTTTGAAATATTCTTATCACGTATTTGTGAAACTTCACCTTATCAAATGAGGATGATGTGAAGATCTTTACACCATAAAACAATCTGTTAACAAATGATTAAAATTTCATCACTATGCGAAAACGTCATGCAGTACAACCATCAAGTAAAACACATTTCATCATTTTTGGAATACATGTCAGTCCACAAGTCTTTTATAAGAGTAACAATTTTACATACAGTATACAATATATGTCAAAGCAAAAAAAAAAAAAAAAAAGTTTGGCTTGATTGCTTGCTTTCCAATACTGATTTTGCTACAATTACTAAAAAAAAAAAAAAAAAAAAAAAAATTCCTCAAAATTATCATTGGAGGATTCTATACATTTGCACTGAAGTTTTTCCTTTATATATTTTTCAGTTTTTTTTTTATTATTTTTATTATTTCCATTAATTAATTGGGTTTTTACTGGAATCTCATTTGCAAATTGTTTGTAATTTAATATTTATTTATTGTATTGATAGATAGATAGATAGATAGATAGATAGATAGATAGATAGATAGATAGATAGATAGATAGATAGATAGATAGATAGATAGATACCATATGCATATCTTTTAACTGATTAAATCTAATAATATTCAAAAAAAATTATCCGTCTGTCCATCAACCCAATCATCCATTCTTTCCAGATGAGCCCCCACACAAATACAAATTATAATTTGTAATTTATAATTATAAATCAGTTTTTTTAGTAGATTGTGTTTTCTAATAAGAATTTCTTATATATTTAATTCATTTATGAATGGAGATGACCTCTGATGGGCAATTTCAACATGCGTTTGTCAAACATTAATAATATATATTAATATATATATATATATATGACAGACAATAGCTGTTTCTCAATATGCGTTCTTCAGCGGTCTTGCTTCCTCGTGTTCTCATGTAACGTCATCATCAGCTGCCAAAGTTCGGTTCCAATACTCAAGACCGCAAGTACAAGGAGGACGCATGAAACTTCCTGGATGTGATCTTGATATCGAGGACGCACTGATGCAGACTTGAGCACTGAACTCGCTTTTGAAGTCCCAGAAGTTATTGCGACTGGAGATAGGAAGCGCAGCATTTTATTTAGATTTATTATTAAAGTTCAAAGATATCATTTATTTTCCTCCGGAGTATCCCCCAATGACACGGTGAAAGTAAACATCACCATGAACATCTTAATAAAGGAATAAACACATTAAGGGTGTTTATTTGCTGAAATTCATATTAAAAATCTGTTTTATTTATTTTGTGCAATGTATATTGATACTGCTTTTATGCAAAGTATATATTTTGAAAAGGAGAAAAACAGTAAATCGTTGTATGAATGCTATAAGGTTTAAATAATTTGCTATTAAAAACGCGTGAAGGTCATGTGACCATCAGGAAGAACGCAGCATCTCATTTCTTAAAGGATGCATTCTCTGCCTTCGCGGTCTCCTGAGTTCGTTCTTCCGATGACACCTGGCAAGACCGGTCTTCACAAGAACGCAAGTCTGTTCTCTGCATTCTTGGAATTGAGAAACAGCCATTGTTGTTTCACATGTAGAACTGCAGGCACCTATTAAAACAAATAATATAAATGACGAATGGTCTAATTTTCTTTTAGACTATTTATAGATACCTAATTTACATGAAAAGGTGTCTTTTAAACGACAGATTTAAAGGTCTAAAGGCTAGATTTGCCAGTATGCACTTTATTGTTCAGTCTATGGGCACAATAACTAAAGTTGTTATTTTTGCTAATTATAACCATTACAAAACAGATCAATGCAAACTCCATCACAGCTTGTTTTGACATCCTTTAGTGAGGATCAAGCATTATTTGTGTCTCCCACAACAAGCCGTTGTTTCTTTTCACTTGTTTTCTTACTGCTTGTTTGCATTTTGTCCTGTTTGTAAAACGCAAGCCGTTTTACCAACTACTTTATAGGGGCGGCGTTGAGGTATTAGCATTAGTATAAAGCTGTCTGTGTCTTCGTGTGTCACCTGGGCTCTGATCATTATATTGGGCTGGGCAGATGCTGATGGTGTGTTGAATCAGCAGGGAAGAGCCAGGCACACGCCACATTACGCTGCTCTCGCACTTCACCGCTTTCTGCTAACCAAGCATGTAGCGCAACGAGAAAAAAGCTTTCATTAGCATAATGAGCCAGACGTAACTTAGAACTTGGTTAAATCATAGGTAATCAGGAAAAAAAGTGTGGAAAACAGATAAACGCATTTACAGGGAAAAAAAGATGTGAGGCAGATAAATGTGATTTGCATGCGATTTGCAGCTATGTTTTTAAATATGCGTGGTATTTTTTTAAACTGTGTTTAATCACTCTTTAATGATTGCCTTTGTTTACGGTGTTTAATGATGTAAAATTTAAATATTTAAAACATAATAATAATAGTAATATTTTGATTAATTTATTATACTTCAAATAATTAAATAAAACATATATTAAAATAATATTTTATTAAAAAATATTAGGAATTTGTATTATTTAATTTCAATGACATGTTAAACATAAAAATCTACTTAAGCTTTTTTTTTTTGTCATTTAGAAAATTTGAAATAATTAATTTTAACTTATCTGTCGTATTTAAAAATTTGAAAAACAAAACAACCAACCAACCAACCTACCAACCAACCAAACAAGCAAAAAAGCAAGCAAACAAAAACCTACCTACCTACAAGTTTATTGTAAGTTTATTGTTTACGTTATGTATTGAAAATGTAAAATGTTATTTATTTTATTAATTAATTAAGTTATTTATTTAATTAATGCTTTTGCCCTGGATATTTTATTTATTTATTTATTTATTTATTTATTTATTTATTTATTTATTTGTTTGTTTGTTTGTTTATTTGTTTATGTATCTAAAATGAGTAAAAACATATTGTTGCCCTGGATATTTTATTTATTTATTTATTTATTTGTTTGTTTATTTATCTGTTTATTTATTTATTCATTCATTCATTCAATTAAAATGAGTGTAACAATACTGTTGCCTTGGCGAGTTTGTTTATTTATTTATTTAATTATTTACTTAGTTACTTACTTATTTATTTAAATGAGTTTAAACATAATGTTGCCCTGGAAAGTTTATCTATTTATTTATTTAGTTATTTAATTTTTTTAAGAATTTAAACATACTGTTGCCTTGGATAGTTTATTTATTTATTTATTTATTTATTTATTTATTTATTTATTTATTTATTTATTTATTTATTTATTTCAATTAGTTTAAATGTGCTGTTGCCCTGGATAGTTAAACAAATAATATTATATTGTTAATTAATTTTAAAAAAGTTGCTCACTTTGATTGTTACCTTTAAAATAATTAGTTTCCATGCTTATAAATATTCTACATTAATTCATTGCAAATAAGCTTTACAAGGGTATCCCCATTTAGTTCAGGGGAGATAATATTATTATTTTTCCTCATGGATTTGCTGGAGATACTCATCTATCAATCAAGCATGTTATTCTGGACTGTTCTCCTGTCTTTCATCTGTACAAAAAAAAATAGACCAACTTTATTAGTTCATTTGTTCGTTTGTTGACTAATTGATTGATTAATTTATTTGTTTGTTTTGTTTGATTGCTTTGAAACACTGATTTAGTTACAACTAATAATAGTAATAGTAATAATAATAATAATAATAATAATAATAATAATAATAATAATAATAATAATAATAATAATAATAATAAAACTTCTTCCAAATCATCATTTGTGGATTCCATTGGTTTGCTCTGAAGTGCTTTATTTATATATTGTTTAGTTTATTAAATTATTTCATCAGAAATTGTACAGTGTAGTCAGTTATTCATTCATTCATTCATTCATTCATTCATTCATTCATTCATTCATTCATTCATTTTTTTTCCGGCTTAGTCCCTTTATTAATCTGGGGTCACCCAAGTGGAATGAACCTCCAACTTATCCAGCATTTTACGCAGCGGATGCCCTTCCAGCCGCAACCCATCTCTGGGAAACATCAATACACACTCATTTACACATACACTCATACACTATGATCAATTTTAGCATACCCAATTTACCTGTACCACATGTCTAAATAATATATCCTAGTTTAATCTAATGAAAAAATTGCTTTAATACATAATAACAAAACAAATAATGCTTTACGGAAATTATTATATAATTAGTTAGTTAATATAGTATCTTTACACTCAAAAAAGATTTAGGCTGAACAAGTTTATTTATGTAAGATATGTGTTTTGATTGCATATAAAATTTCCATCCTTTTCAATTGCATTCTTAAACATAATTGAACTAATTAACTTGATTGATATTTGTGAGTTAAACATAAACAAAATACATCCAATGCGTTTTCAAGGCTTATTATTAATCCATCTTTTGTGTGGAGTATGGAGTTACTTAAATGTTGTCCCAGAATATTAAATAAATCAATCTCTAATTTATTTATTCATCTCTTGAACTATTTGGATATATCTGGATCTTTTCTATATATATATATATATATATATATATATATATATATATATATATATATATATATATATATATATATATATATATATATTTTTTTTTTTTTTTACAATATGCATACACTGTAAAACCCAACAGTCATTTTTTATCGAATGAAATGAGTGTAGTTGACTCAAAATTTACTGAAAGTTAATTCTACTCATTTGAAAAGAGTTTTGAACTCGGTGTTGAAGGCAGTGAGTTAATTAAACACCTCATTACTTCAACTTAAATTAAGTAA